AGAGAAAATAAGTATAGAGGAAGTCTATTGTTTTCAAAAAACTGAACTAAATCAATGGATCTGAGAAAATGTAAAGTAACTACTACTCACCTCTTAGTCATTAGTCACATTTGACACCTATAAAAAGCATATGGGTGCACCTGATCATAAAGCTGTGTGCTTTATTGATATATTCTATCTTTTCACATTGTGTTAATAATATTAACTGGGTGCGTCTGTTTATCATTCAACTGTTGATGCAACATAAACAGCATTTCTATGAAAAAAAGAACAAACCATCCACCATTCTTCATGCTGTTAGCACCCGATAAAGTCTGAATTGAACTCTGGATCTTCTATTATTGATACTGTGTTTATTTGGAATTGCCTTTTCTGTTTTGTTTGACCCTTTTTTAATGCAGTTTGTAAACAGAGCAGAGAATCTCTTCACTTTGATTTCTCGCCTTGATGCTCTTGCTAAAACGTCTGCATCCAAATATATAGTTGATCACCCTAACAAGTTGGTGGCAGATGTCTTTTTTTGTTGTTGCTGATTGCGATTTGAAGCTCTGCGATCAGAATTATCAGAATGTTTCAGCGTGTGGGCAGGATCCGTGCAAACTACAAAGTATTCAATTCATAGTATTATATGAATTGTAAGTATTGAATTCATATTGAAAACACCCTGTTAAACAGAGCCATGTCAGAGCTTTGAAAGCCATAACATGTTTAATGTCTCAAACTGAAGCAATCACAGCTTGTTTCCTGGCCTAATTTTTATATGTCAGCCATCTGCTTCGTTTTGTTTATCCGGCTGCCGGTCTAAGCTTTCACCTTGGACAGGTGCCGCTCAGATGGTTGAGCAGGTTGCGCTCTAATTGAAGAGCAGGCGCTTCGATCTCTCAGCTCCTCGACATGCCATTGTCCTTTGAAAAGCCACCCAGTTGAAAGATGCTTCACATCCGGAGCCACAGAGGATAGTTGTTTAGTAAATCAAAATCTGCACCGTTAAATAGCCTTATTTAAAGTTTCTTTCAATTGCATCCAAACAGAGGAAGTTTTTGTCCTAATAAAAATCACAAATTTCTTGTTGTTTTATCTGATTTTATGATTTACCAAAACAAAGTAAAGCACAATCGACATGGAAGGAACATAAAATCCTCTTAACAAAATATATTTTTTGAACTTATGAAAATCTGAAAAGTGCGTATTACATTTGTATTTAGCCCCCCTTTACTTATATACCCCTTATTACATTCCTGCTGTACCAAATTCACTTGTTATTAATTTGCTCTCCATATAAATGCACTTGTTCTACATTCTATGAAGGACTTATGGATTTGTTAGTAAACATTGGGGCGGAAAAAAAACAAGATAAGAGAGGAGTTGAGAGGTTTTGAGCAAAGAGAGTATAAATCAATACCCTCAGCTTCAAATCTGTGAAGACATGACCATTGTTAACATGTCACACATCACTCTGTTCACCAACACATCCCTCTTAATAGCTGTAAAAGCATCCTGCTGCAGTGACGTCTTTAAGTAGGATTAGTGAGTGGAACTAACACCATGAAGTACTCTAAACAAACTATTTTCTTATTCTGATACGGCGGTTGCAGCATCATGCTGTGTGAACTATTTATTTACATGCAAAAAGCTTTGGATAAAGCCTCCCAGTCTGTTTTTCTTAATTGCCAAGTCTCTGCAGATGCATGTAGCCCAGATTTGAGGCTTTTTAGACGAGATATATATATATATATATATATATATATATATATATATATATATCTATGTATATATATATCTATGTATGTATATATGTATATATCTATGTATGTATATGTATGTATATATGTATATATATGTGTATGTATGTGTATATATATATATATATGTGTATGTATATGTGTATGTATATATATATGTGTATATATATATATGTATGTATGTATATATATATATGTGTATATATATGTATGTATATGTATATATATATATATATATATATATATATATATATATATATACCTCTAAGATAAATGTGTGTGCAGCATTAATGTGACCTCCCTGAGTGAAAACATTAAAGGGTTTGAATTGTTTAATTACAGAAAGGGAAGGAGGTTCCATTCCAGCTGTTATGAAGATGGAAGCTGCCTTCAATTCCATGTCAATAATGTGAGCGTCGAACAATCAGAGCTGAACTGATTGGTCGTTGCTGTTGCAAAACTAAACATTAGACTCATGCACTTTAACTGCTCTGCTGCTCTGGCAGCTGTTGAGGCGTTGCCAGCTCCGTAATGACTGCCCCGCTGGTGATGCTTGTCTCAGCACTTTGAAAATGGCTCTCATTTTGCGTCTCCGTGCTCTTTTTCAGCACCGGCAAATGAAAAATATATTGGAACAGTTCTATTACACGACTACAACCGCTGAACCACAGGGTTGCTCTTATGGCTGTTCATCAGCAGCATTAAATGAAACCACTTCCAAAGAACAAGTGTTGACATCACGTTTTTTTAGATGTTTGCATCCTTGCCGCGCTGGGTTCTAGCGTTCTGGAAGTCGTCTGGGAAATAACCCAGGGGAAAAAAAGCAAGATGGAAGAGCTTGTTGATTCGGTTTCTAAAACACTGGCGGGCAAACTGAGCTTTGGCCTAAAATTTCAGCTTAAAAACAAAAGAACAAAGGCGCAATCTCTAAGCATGTCACAAAACTGTTGATTGACTGTTTATTTTTACATTTTCTGAGCTATTTGAGTCATTTGGTTATTCATAGAGCAAAGGGATAAAGTTAATAGTGTTTGTGTTCACAAATAATCAGAGAGCTACATGTTTCCTAAGCAGCTAAATGGATCCAAGTTGTGCTAATGGTTCATGTTCGCCTTTTTATTGTCATTCCATTGGAGACTGAACCCTGTCACTATCTAGGGTTGGATTAATAGAACTGAGAGAGCAAAACAAAGATAAAATATAAATTATGCTTTTTGTGACCCTGAGAAACAAAAACAGCAGCTTGTTTCAGCACATTTTTTAATTATTCATATGTTTGTTTTTTTGTAATTATTTGTTAAAAAAAAGAAGGCAATTATTATCAGTCTTCATGAGAAAAAAAACCCAGAATACTTTTTGTTATAGACATTTACATTTTTTAATCTTTTTATTTTAGCGATCTACTTGTAGACTTGTCTTTCCCATTTAGAAACGTTACTTAGAGATATGAAATTTTGATTATTCGAATCACAGGAAAGTAGAAATTCATTGATTTTTTTTTGAGTAAAAGCTTCTAAACACTCTAGAAAAGGTAAAAAGATACAACAGTATTACTAATTATCACCTCATTACATTTGTATGTATAAGTAGTAATTTTCAAATGGGTCAAAAATAGTGTTTTTCAGTATTTAATGTTTATGGATCACAATCTCATCTAAAGTGTAGACTATTATAGCTTGATTCTCATAGTTTATTGCTGGGAGCTAGTTAAATAGTGTAGAATGATAACTTATAACTTTGCTTTAGAAGCAGCATTATTTTAAGAGTGATAAAGAACAGAAAACAAATCGACCAACTGTGCTTTGACTGACTGGAAAATCTTAAAACAGCCCAAAAAACCTTTAGTAGTGTTCTATTAGCCAGCTGACTAACTACCATCCATCCATCCATCCATCCATCCATCCATCCATCCATTTTCTCCAGCTTATTCCTTGTCGGGGTCATGGTGGGGCCAGTGCCTATCTACGGCAGTTTATGGGCAGGAGGCAGGGTACACCCTGGACAGGTCACCAGTCTGTTGCATGGCAACATAGAGTCAGACAGAGACACAGAACCATGCACACACACTCTCATACTTAAGGACAATTTAGAGAAGCCAATTATGGTAAATGGCCTATACTACTATAACTTTGGGCAAGTCAGAGAACTTGACCAAAGCGATTTACACTACATTCAGTCATCTGTAGCTGAGAGAAAGCGGCTGGATAAGATGATCAGGAAGGCCAGCTCTGTGATTGGATGCCCTCTGGACTCACTGCAGGAGGTGGGAAACAAAGGATCCTAACTAAATTAACATCTCTGTTGGATAATGTGTCCCACCCAATGCATTAAGCTGTTGCAGAACTGGAGAGCTCCTTTAGTGATAGACTGCTGCACCTTAAATGCACCAGGGAGCGTCATCACAGATCCTTCCTCCCAGCAACTGGAAGACTTTATAACCATTGCTGTACCAAACAACCTCAATAAGTTGTTACATTCATGCTGATTTTGTACAGTTTCTACCTTAGCCAGATAAATGTCATTTTTCATTTTGCACATCTCTGATTTTGCAGCTATTTTCAAATATTCATTACTGTAAAAATGTCCATAGCTGTATATTGGTTATTTATTTTCAAGGTGCATAGTTTTATATTGTTAAAACACTTTACAGTATTTCATTGTTTACCTGTTAACTCTTCACTAGTATGTTATTCTTATACATTTTTCTAAGGTCTAAATTTGTGTGACCATTTTTTCTAAACACCAGCATTTCCCCATTATGGGAAAATAAAGGGATTTTCTATTTTTTATTCTATTCTATTCAAACATGCACTTACACACTCACACACTGATGGAGGCAAGCTACATTGTAGCCACAGCTGCCCTGGGGCTCACTGACAGAAGCGAGGCTGCCGTACACTGATGCCACCAGTAATGTTTTTGGACTGTGGGAGGAAGCTGGAGTACCCAGAGAGAACCAATGCATTCACGGGGAGAATATGCAAACTCCATGCAGAAAGACTTGGACCGGGAATCGAACCATAAACCTCCCTGCTGCAAGGCAACAGTGGCAGCACTGCATTTCTGCTATTCTTTAGACCGTGAATGTTTAAGTAACTCTAGAGTTACTTTTTTAAAGTTTTTTTTACATCAACTTTTTTCACCTTGTTCATAGTAACTTAATTATACCTACTGAATACCTAAAATTTATTAGTAAGGAAGCATATTAGTTGTGTTTTTCTTTTTGTTAATCAATGTTTCTTTTTTGCTGTCTTAAAGGGTGCTGGAGTAAAACAGTAACAGCCCCCCCTGGTGGTGTGGAGGAATGAGGGCCTCTGGATGAAGGCCATGGAGCTGAAAGTCTGGGTGGACGGAGTCCAGCGCATCGTATGTGGTGTCAGTGAGTTCACCACCTGCCAGGAAGTGGTCATCGCTTTGGCACAAGCAATTGGTGAGTTAACTGCTCCAAAGTATTCAACAGAATATTTTTGCTGCATACTTTTTTGACAGGAAAACATAGATGGAAATGAGAGTTGTCAGTATGATTTAGATGATATTTTAGAAATGATCAATTTGCATGTGCTCTGTGATGTGGTTGATATTGTGTGGGCATGTTTTCAGACTGACTCCAGTTGATAAACTGGAGGGCACAAAGATTTTCCCCATAAATAAGCCCTTACAAAATGAGATGAGTCATACTGCAGTCGCTGGTTTATTGACAAGTGCTGCGGTGCTGCAGAGAAATAAGTTAGCAAGCTGCCTTTAGTAGACAATATGTGAGCAGTTTGGAGCGGATGCCTTTTTTAAGATAACAGTTTTTAGCCAAGCCTTCGATTAGAGCTGGAACATGCCTGTCAAAGTGGCAGCATAGCTAGATTTGTTGCATTCACTGTCCTTTTTGTCCTCTTTGCCTTTTGTTCAGGCCAGGCCACTTTGATGTAAATGGCTGCAGTGATGAATGCAACTATTCTTTTTTTCTTTTACAAGGATCCTTACTGTGCAGGATGGGGAGTGAGGGTGAAACGGGCAATGCTCTGCTCTTATCTACATGTGTACAGACTAGAATGCAGAGCGCGCACACATGTACACACCAAGGGGGAAACCGTGAAAACCCATTGAACCTCCATCTCCTCACAAACGCCGCTTGTTGAGTTGGATTTTCCCACCGTAAAACTCTTTCACTCTACACGACGGTGAGGTTCTTTGAATGCGCTGGTGGTTCACCTGCGTGGGAGAGCTGTGAAAGAACATGATGAATAAGTTTTGTTCTTTTCATGCCACGAGTCTGACTTTCATGCTTCTGCTTTCCAAGTTTATTTGGATTTTGTTGACAGTATAGCATCTGGTCTGGCCTCATATTTACAGAAAAACATTCATCCCACTTAAAAATTTCGCATTTTACAGCCACAAGCTTCACAGAATGGATCTTTATCGACATTTTCAGTCATATTTTACCTTCCTTTATCATATACTATAGAGCTCTGGATAGTTAAACATTAGCATTGATTTTCAAATGGTGGCTCCATTTCTGTTTCAGATCGAACCTCTGCCCTAGTCTCAGTTTCACAGTGGGGATTGTGTTTATGTTTTTGTGCAGGGTTACTGTGTGCCATAATTACCGTTTATCATGCTGGCAATATAAAAAGCTATTTTTGGGACTATCTAGTCAGATCCTTTCTTTTGCCAAACTGCAAAAACAATATCCTCAGAAGACAAATACAAATGAAATTCTTCTTACTTTTGTGTTAAAGAATGTAAAAACTGCAAATTTGAATTGGAGACCGATGCTTTAATTAGCTTTTTACCCACCAGGACGGACTGGCAGATACACTTTGATTGAGAAATGGCGAGACACAGAGCGCCACCTGGCTCCACATGAAAACCCTGTGGTGTCCCTCAACAAGTGGGGTCAATATGCCAGCGACGTGCAGCTCATCCTCCAGCGAACTGGCCCCTCCATCAGCGAGCGGCCGACCTCAGACGGGTTGGCTCGGGTCCCAGAAAGGGGGCTCTACCGACAGAGCCTCCCGCCTTTGGCCAAGCTCCGGCCTACAGGGACGGAGCGCTCCATCAAACGTAGGGAACCCAAACGCAAGTCTCTGACCTTTACCGGGGGAGCCAGGGGCCTGCGGGAAATATTTGGAAAAAGTAAAGATACTGAAGGTATTGTTATAGCAAGACATATTTTGTGCCATTTTTAAAGAATTTCCTGCAAGGGATTAATAAAGTAATTCTGATTTATAACTTTAATGGCAGTATTTGTATTTTGTACTTTCTCCTTTTAGGCAAACAGCCTCAGCATCGTGGTGTTAGCCTGAACCTGAGCAGAGTTGGCGGCGGTGGAACTGCACCTGTACCTGGGAGCCCAGCCAGGGAGCTCAGCCGGCTGGTGCAGCTGCAGAGAGACAAACTGCAGGCCCTGGAGGGCCGTCTGCTGGGCTGTGAGGCTGAGCTGCGAGACTGGGAGGAAGCCAGTGATGTGAATCAAACCACAGCCAACCAAATATTTCTCTGAAAGGATCAAAACGAATCACAGCAATAACTTCAATTATTTTCCACTTAGCAGGAAGGAAACCTGGAGGATGAACTTCAGCTTCTGGAACAGCAGGCAAGGAGGAACGATGCGGAGATGCAGGAGGAGGAGTTTTGGCAGAACGAGCTCCACATTGAGCAGGAGAGCGAGCGGAAGCTGAGGCAACAGCTCGCCGAGCTGCAGGGCCGCGTGCACGACAGCGAAGCTAAGTTATCAGAGTATTTAGCACGCATTCAGGTGAGCTCCTTATCACAGAGAAGCTGCAGGATTCTGGTGTTTTTACTGGATCTGTGAACGGCATGTCAAACTAACAAGACTTGCAAACAAAAAGCTTTCCAGACAGTTATTTTGCAATAAAGAAGGAAAAAATTTCCACATTTTTGAAGTGCAAAGTCAGTAGAAATGTACACCAGAACACCTACAGCTGTAACGTTAAAAACAATCTATATATTTACTTATAAAACCTTCTGCACTACTTTTGACAAATACAATCCCAGTACAATGCATTGTAAACTGTGAATGCAATATTAAGATATGTAAAAAATGTTTAATGGTCGCAAAATGTGTTGCAAGAAAGAAGATCCTAAATAGATGACAGTTGTTTCCTGCTTTATTTAGAGTATGGAGACAGGCCTGGAGAAGGAGCGACTGCAGCAGGAGGCTGAGCTCAACTTGAAGGTCAAGGAGGAGGAGGTACAAAACATTTTATCCTGCTTTTCCAAACACTTACCAGGCTGGAAAGAGAAAGGAATGTCCTGTGTTTAATCAAGTGACAAATAAGAGGTTTATCTCAAGAAGAGTTTTTTTCTTCTTGATTTAAAAAATGTAATTTTAACTTTGCTTCTTTTCTTTTTCCAGGAGAGCTATATAAGCTTTTACGCCCCTTTCCTCCGTTTTCCTTTACGTTTTTTGATGAGTGTTTTCCTCCCACCCCTGATTGCAGGTGCAGGTCCAGCTGGATAAAGTGAGGGCAGAGCTCGAAGTGCAGAGCCAACAGACGGCACGGCTGGAAAGCAGCTGCAAGGCGTTGGAACGATTGCTCTGCCAGTCGGGTAAAAGACTCCAGGTCGGCTCGCGTTTTCCTTTTTTTATCAGTCTTTTTTGGCACAGCAGCTTTAGAGCTGTCAGGCATTTACAGCATTTTTGGGGGGATTTTGCCTCCAGAAAAAAATGTGTTCCAAATAGGTTAAAAAGTCGAGAAGTTTTTGAAAAGGTTGTGAAAGTTTTTCTAATTTTTTTTTAGTCTAGATAACTTGGCACTGCAGAGAAAAGCCAGTCATCTGCACACAGGTGGAACATAGAAGTCTAAGCTCCTGAAATTGCAACCAGCGATGCTTGCTGGGATGTGCAGTGGATCTGTGCTTCCTCTTATGAAACGAAATTCCCTTTACAGATATCGCCTGCTATGATGTGAGGAGTATGAAGTAATAAGAAGAGGAGGGGAGGGTATTAACAGCATTCTTTGCCTGATTAGAGAGAAATACGCAATCCCTTTCCTGAGGTTGCTTAACCGTCTTGCAACCTGCTTTTGCAACTAGGTTATGGCTTGAGGGATATTGAGCAGATTATACTGCCTTTCCTCTTGCATCTTCTCACATTAAAAACAGATTTTTTAAAATAAAATCTGTAACAGAGCAACTCAAAGTGTTCAAAAAACATGTAGTGGTTGAAAAAATATGCATTAAAGCCTTCCTTTATCTATTTTCCTGTAAAGTAGCACAAGCTTTTATTGAAATGACGCTTCTACCTCGATGCATCATAGTCTTAGTTCTCCTCCACAGTTGTTTAAAGTTTTAATTTCACTTTAAGCTCCATCTGCTCCAGTTATGAACTTCTGTATGTTTGACTGTCATATATACAGTCCAGTACACAGAGGTTTGTGTTTGTAATGTCAGAAAACATGAAAAGCATCACTGTCCTTATTATGAAATAAAGGGATAGAGGTGGGGGAGATTCATTTAGTTACCAGTGTTTTGTTTTTCTGTCTCAGGAGAAAGAGCTGGAGCTTGAGCAGCTAACAAAAGAGCTGCGACAAGTGAATCTGCAGCAGTTCATCCAGCAGACTGGCACCAAGGTCACGGTGCTGCCTGCTCAACCCACAGGAGAGAACAACAATGGTGAGCGCAACTCCAAGAACTGAAAGCAGGCAGAGGCACACGAATGTCTGAGAAAAGAGCCAGTTTCATAAAAAGTTCAATTTCATAGCTCATTACCCTTTTGGCTCGTGCCTTGTTTACACCCTATTGATGTTCTGTCTGTGTGACTTTACTGCCACCTGGTGGTCAAACAGAATAACACAAGCTTGTAACTAAGTTTTATTTTGGGTTATGTCTGCAAAAAAAGAAGATTGAGGGTTCTTAGTTATCTCTTGTATCTACAGATCTGGAGTGCGGCTCTCTGAAGCGACTCGGCTCCTCACGACTATTACCAAGCGATCTTCGCGCCCTGCAGAGCAGGGTCTCCTCCAGCCTAAACCCTGAAGGCATCTACGTCTGACTCCCTACACTCGATGCAGCTGGGTGGCTTGACGCTTCTACAGCTGGGTATAAACACAGGAGTTTGAGAATCCTTTTCAGGAAAAGCAACTTTTACTTCTCCAAACCAGGATTGGGACATAAACTGATGTCATCATCTGTTTGCACACTAACAAACAGTGAGTTTTCCTCCTATGCTGGTGCATAGTGAGGTTAAAAAAATAAAAAAAACAGTTCTGAACCTACAGACTTTTCACTAGCGGACTGTTTCAGACTGTTTGTAAATGAAAAGAGAATTTCAGGAGGTGTATCTTAAATAAGAGTAGATGCATGGACATGCACACATCTGTGCTATAATCATAGCCATATCTGATTGCCTTACTCTGGTTAAAAAATGAAAAATAAACCTGACTTAAAGAAATGTCATGTCAAAGTAAAACTCAAGGTATCTTTCAAAATGCCATAAAAGATTTAAAATGTTAGGTAGCAACCCAGTAGGCTGTTCTTTTTTGATGTCAGAAATTAGATCTGGTATTTTTATTATCCATGGATTTAGAGTTTTATATTAATTCATTAGCTTTAGAATAGCTATTTACTTTTTTTTAAATCTGAAATTTAAAATCTACTGATAATACACAGTATAGGCGGTTTAAAAACCGTGTTAAGGGGTCTATAGAGTAACATGCATGCAAAATTAAGCGAACAAGCGACGTTAAATGAATGGCCACCAGGTGGCGACAAACACACATTATTCAGGTTTGTAAAAGTAATCAAATGGATGCCATCTTTAGGGTTGATGTAGTTCTGAGTTTCTACTCATATTTTCACTGGTCATATTTGAATGTTCAAATTGTTTTATAAAAAAAAAAAAAAGAGCTTTAGCACTTTAGATATGAATGTGTAAAAGTGCCACTATGTATTTTTTTTCTTTTTTTAAACATTTTAACAAAATAAATATGTCTTATTCGAAATTCAAAACCAAAGCTAGTGTAAAAAATGAATAGTTAGATGAATGTAATTTTATATAAAGATATATAGATGCATATATATGTAGCCTGGGTGAAACACTGTTAACATGCAATATCTTTGTGCTCTGAGAAACCATATTTGTTGGGAAGTACAAGAAAATGACACAGAAATGTGCAAAAGCCGAAACTTTCAATCTCCAAATCATCCCATATTCCGCATTAAAGATCTCCATAAAACAGCATCTGCTTAAAAAAAAAAACAGAATTATATCATTCGTTTCGATAAACCCCTGAATATCCATCGTAATGCAAATAATGCCTTTCTCCGTCTTCATCTTTGTCTGAGTCCTTTATTTTGAAGTAAGAAAGGAAGCCATTTCTGTAGTTGGCGAATAAAGGCAGCTCCTCAGGATGGCACACGTTTATTTAGAAAAAAGTATTCAAAAAGCCACAATCACTGTTATACATATTTATAGCATTAGTATTAGGACTCAATAAAAGAAAAGAAAACGTGTTAGTGTGATGGACAAACATTTGTAATATGATAGACTTACTGTTAGCTTTTAAAAACACAGAGTTTAACATTCCCAAAATCAGGATAAGAAAATCAAACAACTCCAAAATCAAGTCTGTAAAACATCTGTAAGCATAAGATAATACAGACACGACTAACCTTTATAAAATTACCAATGCTAACAATGCATTTACTCCACTTGGTGATTAATTAAATGACTTACAGTAATCCTCACTAATTTAAAATATTTCTAATCAGATCTTAAACGGATAAAAATCTACCTTAAATAAACGCTCCTAATAGCATAAAATATATTGAAAACATGTATATAATTCAAACTGCGAATGGATAAAAATCTACTACTTTTTTTTCCCTTGTAATAAAACAATAGCGGATAATTTAATAACAAGGCAAGGCTTTTGGCCAAATCATTATAATCCAGCAACAATATCATAAACTCAGTGTATATATAATGTAATTAAAGATTTAGATATTCTAAGTAAATCAAATCAGCTCTTACAAGTGTATTTAAGAAGAAAAAGCGGTGCTTATTGTCCACTCCTGGTGAATAAATAAAACTACAAATCTAAAATGCCGATTTGGATGCAGAAAAATGCTAAACGATTTTTTTAATTTACTCTAAAATTTCAGTCATGTATCTTTATAATTTCATTATTGGCTCAGGTTGTAATATTTTCAAATGATTTTTTGTTATAGAACAGCAATAAAGTACAAGTCAATGATGTTACTTGTTACATTATCAGCAAGTTATGGTGTGATTGGCTTTATTGCATCTAAAATAACCAAATTATCTTTATTAGTCATTGTTTCTTTACTGTTTTCTGCAATCACTATAAAAATTTATGTTTTTTTACTCTGTCTGCTGATTTATTTGGGTTTTAAGTTGGTGCGTGTGTAAACATCCATGTTTAACACACTTTTCAGCCTCCAATCAGTATTCATCAAAGGCTGCTCTCTTGTTTCAGAGCACTTTTAATTTGTGCAGCTATAAATCTTTTCTTATCCACGAGATTGAAATTTCTTTGCGGTTTCTTTCAGAGTGATAAACAACCTCAGGTGTTTTCTTTTCTCTCTCTCTCTCTCTCTCTCTCTCTCTCTCTCTCTCTCTCTGCAATTACTTCATTTGACAAGCTGGAAATCCAACTTGAGCCTTTTGTAAAGACCCTCATGCTTGTGCTTTGAATAAGTAACGACCAAGTGAGGTTCACCCTGTGCTTGTTTAGCAACTGAAGACATTCATATCCCCACTTTAGTTGAACCTTTCTGTTATGCTGCGTTCACACCGGGGGCAGCTGGCGCGACAGAAGCAGCGAGTTTACATACAAAGTCAATGGTTGACGCGCGTCAAGGCGCAGCAAAAGGTCCCGCGGCGCGTTTTGAGCAGCAGGCGCAGCGCGTCTGAGCAGCTGAAGCAGCGCGTCGGGCGCGTTTTTATCTGACGCGCGTGACGCGCCGCAAACGCGCTGCTGCTCGAGATGGAAAAATTGAATTTTTGCTGCTCGACGCGCCGCGTCAACCAATCAGAGAAGCTGATCTGGGAGCTGGCTGGGAGAGAGACACAGCGCTGATGACACAGACCGCTCTGATTACTCCTCTTAAACAGTTTATTAACGCATAATTAACTTAAAATATATACATCTGCCGGCAGAATATGTTCGCTTTTATTATTCTGGTGCCTGCAGATCGGAATATTTAGATGAAAAACACCTACCAGCCGCCGCGGTAAACCGCGAGGAGGCGACCCGGCCAGAGGCTGCTGAAGAAGGGATTCCTTCTGTCGGCGCACCGCCGGTATGTGAGGGTCTGAGCGGCTCCGACAGAAATAACATTGGGAGGCAGGATTGTAATCTAGATGAACTGACTGCACTGATGAAGTTTTCAGGTGTATTTTCTCACTTAAAAACATATTAAAACTACTTTATTCCCACTGATCACAGCAAATATAGCTGCAAGGCAGAGAAAGGATAGTGAAGCTCCGCCCAACGCGCGTCAGAGCCACTTTTGGACCGCGCAGGCAGAGCAGCAAAGCTGCTTCAGCCGTGCGTCAGAACTAACCGGTACAAGCAGCAAAAATGAAGCAGCAGACGCGATTTTGCTGCTTTTGCAGCGTCCGGTCTGAACGTAGCATTACTGTTCAGTGAGTGAAAATGATGGTTCTATTCGCAGCAGAAATCTCAGCTGGAGACTGCAACAAAAGGAAAGTTTTGAAAAATGACACACTTTAACAAGAACATAACGTCTACATACCATGTCAGGCTATTCTTATACTATTTTGAAGTCTTATATAATCAGATTTCCAAGCAGTAGAGTGTGTATGCTAATTTGTGTGTGCTCCTATTTGGTCTATCAATTAATTGCTACCAAGCATCCCTTTTTCTAACATATATGAGCTCAGAAAAGAAATGGCAAAACCTTCTCATTATTTTTATTCCTTTTTTTTCCCCCATTTGACAACAATAACACTTCTGAACGTAAAAGAGATTTGTGTTGCATTGAAACATAAAGTCAACCATCATTGTGTGGATTTTTTTATTTCTTTTTTTTGCCTCCTTCCGATTCAAGCTTAAAGACATGGCCAATAATTGGCTTCTGTTGTGCCATCGCAGTAAGAGTGCACGCACAAATGAGATGATGGAGCCATTATGGAAACAGCCATCACGAGGTTTTAAAAGCCATTTGAGATCCGCCGTGGCCCAGGGATATTTCAAGGCACACAGAATCACCCAGATGAGAATGGACGGAAAGTAATTACGGATAAATGCTTTTCGCAACGTCTGGGTTCATTTGACACGTTAAATCGAATGTTTGCTCTCATGGGGACTTCAAGAGTTTGACAAGTTGTTGCACTGCTTCACTGACATGATGCAACATGTGATTATTGTGCACCGGTGGATATTTGGAGGAAAAGTGTTTGAGTTTCTCAAAGTTCTTGTTGTGCCTCATGGATAACAACAGATGCATGAGCATATACATTAACGGCACACCTTTGGTTTAAATACTGACTCTGTGGTGTAATCCTGCTCTCTAAACATCCCTCAGATTGTTTATAGAGGTAAATAGGTCACTAGGAGCTCAAAACATAATTTTGTATTTTCTAAATATATTTTTTTATCTTCCAGAATTACCCGATTGTCCTTTTATGTTAAAGACCTGAAATATGTAAATACATTTAAAAAAAAGCATTTAGGAAGATCAACAATCAATAAATCAGCTTCTTCTAAGATGTCTGCTTCTTGTCTGTTTGATTTGTTTGCTTTTATGTAAAACATGTAAAAATGTTTTTCCTTATGGATATAAAATAGCTTGGTGAAAACTTACCCCGATATGAAAACAAATTATTCATAGAGTATTAACCCCACTTAATTGTTTAAAGCATGAGCTTTTAGCACATCCACACTTATGTGGAAGAGAAGCAACTTTATTTGTATATCTTTTATTCTGATTTTTTTTCTTCTTTTTTTTTTATACAAGTAAAGGCTTAATTGGAACATCTGTTTAATGGTCTCATTATCTAAATGTCACAGTTTTGGTTCTTTTGAGTATTTCAGTTTTCCTTTGCACCATGTTTTCTAGTTTTAGTGTTTTAATTCTTATTTTGCTGTGTTTTCTGGTTATTTTCAGTTTTCAGGTTTTTATTTGTTGCCTTCTGCTGCCCTCTTGTGTTCTCCTTTTTCCCTAGCTCCTTTCCTGTCTGCTCTGTTCACACCTGCTCCCAATCTGCTCGTTAGCCCTCTCTTTGTTTCAGTCTCCCATAGATTACTCTCTCTGT